TAGGTAACGCAAAAACAAACATATTTCAAATCACACACAAATAAAGAGCAGTTGAGACATTCACTCAAATGAAATGAGTATCTAACCACTTGCATCACCGCACACTAACGAGTTCACAAATGCTAGCATTGTTAGCATATTAATATTAGTGCTCATATATCCAAAGACCATGACAAACAAGCACAGGATATAAATAAGAAAGAAAACAACTCATGCTTAATTCTTATTTTCATAATCTAGACCATAAATATAGTTATTGCTTATACATACAATCCTACAGAGAAAAAGGTCCACAAGCTAATTAATTATGAGGTCTGAATTTGAAAACTCTCTTGGACATGATTTTAATTTATTCTAATTGGTGTTGCATGCTGGAATCAACTAAAAAAAATTGGGAATTTTGTTCGCGACTACAGTGATTTACCAAGACCAGTGTGTCAGTCAAAATTCGACATCTGATTAATGAAGTTGATTTGCAAAAGATTGAATCAACACGTACATGCCATTTTAATTGTTCCTAATCGATCGTTCCATCCCTTTTTCTGTGTTAAAGGGGCATAGACTCTATCTCATGGTCGCAGAGACACCACAAGATATTCAATGAGTTATTTTTCTTCAATTTCATCAGTTCCAATTTCAAGACTCTAATTCCATGCAGCCGGATATACTCTAGCACAATTCTAGAACCTTCTTCAACCCTCATACTGTTGTTGTTGATTTTTTTTTTTTTAGTAATCACTTTACTGAGCTTTGTGTTTTGATTTGCAAATCCATGTTTGATCTGGGCTTTGTTTTTGGTCTTGAATCATGGGCTTCCCAACTGTTAGGGCCTCCCACTGATTTCATGGACTTACTGTTACTGTTAGGCCCCCATGCTTTTTTGTAATAATCTCGTCATTTCATACACATACTTACCTACCGGGAAAGAAAATATATATATATATATCCACTAGTTTCATTCTCGGACATCAATGTTCACTATTGGTGTCCTTAGCCTGTAATGTTCTGATACACCACATCCGTTACAGTGTAAATATTGGAATTCGTCCAATGCAGTACAGCATCACCGCACCACAGCAAAGGATCCAAGGGGACATTATTTTTTATAATGTTACATTTGTGGAAAAAGGCAATTGCATTTCCTTTTAGCATTATTTTGTTAATTGTTATATCTAAATTCGTATAATTACACTCAAGGATGACAACACTTGGAACATGAGACCACCACTAACATGTCCATTATACTCTACTCATAATTACACTCTACTCACAATGGGCATATATTGAGTATTATTATTATCATTATTTGGTTATGAAATTCATTAGTTTTAAACTTGCATAATATAAATTGCAGATGATAAAAAGTTTGGCTTCCCTTTATATAATATTGATGATATAAAGTTGGGCTCAAAGAGCTAACTACAAGTTTGTATAATTCATTTGCACAATTAATGCACTACAACATTCGGATGAGTTATATATATGTATATTTATATAAACATATTATAACAGGCATAATTCTTAGATGTGTATTAACACATTAGAGGTTGAGGTTCTATTACAAGATATATAATGTTAGTAAGAATATCACAATGTGTAATATAAGTGACAACCGTAAATTGTGTAAATTAATGGCCCATATTGAATTCACGTTGTTGATGAAAATGGATAAAGGTTTGGCAAATTGAGTTGAATTTGGAGGGTTATTTAGTACCTCTCTTAATGTGCCTTTGAACTAAATTTTCTATGAATTTTAATTTTAAAGTCTCGATTTGATGCTTTCAATCACAACATTAACATAAATATTTATATTGCATTCAATATTTGAGTTAATTGTCTTCAATATTTGTTATCTCCTTTTTCATATTTAATTCTTCTTTGATATCCGTTTGTTTAAATTTTATGCCTTTGAAACAAAGTATTCTCATTGATCCGTTATTTTCAATATTTTTTTTCCCAATAACTAATATATATATATATATATATATAGACATACAAAAAGAAAAGGCAAACATAAACCAATGAATTTCAATATTAACAAAATCCCAACATAAACCAATGAATTTCAATATTAACAAAATCCCACATTGATAAAATACACTATGACCTTCTTTTTAATAATTAACCTTATTGGACACTCACATTGCCGACCCCAGTAACGTGAACTTGTGACCAAGGGGAGGCATTAAAATGGTTGGACGTGTGGTTCTTGTTGTTGGGCCACCGTTGCTCTCCCGCTTCCAAGACAACAATGGGTGCGCACCAATTTCTCTAGGTTAAAGAGAACCCGAACCCTGATGGGGTAGCCTCTCCGGGTCAGAGAGGAACCCAACCCACCACGGGCCCATGGCTGCGAGAGAGTTGAATGGGCATCCTGCCTTGCGTACCCACCGATGGCCTCCCCACACACAACCACTTTTATATATATGTCCTTCCCAAAAATAGTCCTGGCTTTATTACATAATTACATTTTCAATTTGTTCTTTTGTTGGGGACAATAAAAAAATATAATTTTCAGATTGATGCCCAAATCTTGACATTTCATTCGTACAATACGATTTCTTTTCTTTACTGCGCCAAAATAAATACAATTTTAAAAATTGAATAAAGTTCACCTTGCAAATACAATCATATGTTTGTTTTTAAAGGTTACAATGTAGGGGAACTTTACTATAGGGTATCTACTAGTAATACTTATGTAAGAAAATATATAGATATATCATGTATCTTTTTTTAGGAAAATAGTTATGTAGGGAATATTAATGTTTCGCAAAATAGACCAAGTGAGTGTTAAAATTGAAAGTGGTGATGATGTGAAAAATCAAGAAGATGAGGATGATGCTGTTTTGTAATGGTAGAAACCATATATAACTTAGCTCTATATATTACACAGTTTTTCCTAACCCTAACCCTAACCCTAACCCTAACCCAAGAAAGTAAGAAACCCCCCACTGCTGTGACAGAAAAGAGATCCAAATGACTTGGCGTAAAAGCCAAGTCACGGTTTCATTTTTACGCCAAGTCATGGTTTCATTCACATATATATGAAAGTACGTCAATCTCGTATTAAGCCAGGAGGCCCAGGACTATATAGTATATACACACCACACAGTTATATACGCACACATATATCATCCTCTAATGAAGAGTACTCCACGTTCATGGCGAGTTTTTGGAGTATTGAAGTTATATATTCTATATATATATTTTTCTATTGGTGATAGATATTTCTGGATGCTAGTTATAGTTCCCAATTTGTTTAACATTACTCTCAATAACTGTATCGTTCCATGCAGCATTTCATTTAAACAAAAGACTTCGACAATTAAGTTCAATGCAGAACATGTTTTCACATCTAGCTGACAACAGAAGAATGAAGCAACTAAATAAACTCCCCAAGGTTAACAATTAATTAAGTATAAATGAATACCCAAGCATTACCCAAAATTTTAGAAAATAAGAAGCATTTACATCATAACTTACAGGCAAAAACAATTTTGAGTTCTAACAGATCACTTGAATACCACTTCTTTAATTGCCCCACTCAGAATTGTAAATCAAAATCATGTAAAAAGCATTTAAGAGAAGAAACAGATACAAAATTCAACATAAAACAAATTTTGATGCAATACTAGAAGTGTAAATTAGTCAAAAAAAAAAAAAAAAAAAAAATTTCGTGACATGCTTCGTAGCTTAAAAAATTTCATTATTAGACACAACTGAAATCCCATTAATCTTTAAAACCTAGATTGACTAGGCATGATAGTGAATTACCAAAAATATATATTCTGTCTACGCAGAATGCTAGAAGGAAAAGAAATGATTTCCATAATGAATATATATGGACTAATGTCTTAAAATCCCAAAATTCTATGCCAATCAATACATTTTTACTTCCTTTCCAACAATGCTGTCAATGTAATAGTTTTTTTGAAAAGGAAGTATTGTAGTAAACTAGGCCCATACTTGTCTGTCTAAATCTTTGTTTTCAGTTTTTCTTTATGCTTACGAAGCTCTACAGGCCAGTTACTACATATTGGGGCAACAAGCTTTGAAGAGAACGGTTCAACCCAAGAAAACCCTCCAGATAGGCTTCACAGATGTCCGAGTTGGCGAAGGCAATGGCTTAAGAAGATAACTTCTCAGATTTGACTCTAAGACTGTGTCTCAGATGAGTGATTAATCTTGGGCTCTAAAATCTAATAAGATGGATCGTCATGACCTAAATCCCCCAATCCACAAAAAATAAAATAAATGAATAAAAGAAAATTCTGCGGGTCGTTTTCAGTGCAATAAATATATCCACTAAAACTCAGCAGCCATACCCTAGGGTTGCATATTAACCAAAATGTTCGTAGACAGTTCAAACTCAACCCGTTAAGGACTCGATTCTTGTTCATTATCAAATTAATGAATGAGCTCGTGCTCATTTTTAATTCATTAAATAAATAGGCTGTGCCCAAGCAACGTCAAGCTTAACTCTTTAGGCCCATGAACAACAGCCCATTTAACTTGGCCCAACAAGACTACTCTAATTGATTAGGGTACACCGACTAAGCCCATCAAGTTATCCACACAAGAGAAGTGAACAAGTGATTACTGGTTTTTAGCTAATCAGACATTGTCTGGGAAAGAAGACTTCCCCTTCACCTTCTCTTTTTAAGAATGCAACAGTAAGTTTAGTTAGCAATTTTGAGATACTCCAAAGTTTGTGGATCAAATCTCCCTCATCGAGCTGAGCCCAAAAATTCCATAGCTAAGCTAGGTTCTCTCATCTCAAGTAACATTAAGTTACCTTGTTAATTATTCAAGATCTTGAACCCCGTTTAACGAAATACAATTGTGCTCGCGTGAAAAATGCATGTAGAACAAAGGGAACCAGAAGGATTCCCCATTCAAGCTGTTACATAACTATAGAACAAACAATGTTGTTTTAGCCTGAGAAACTTCTTCAGATATCTCAAATTTACAACATTCAGATTGTCATGCACAAAATAAACTGATAAAGAAAACAAGCTAGTAAAAGATAAAAACTGGTTACAACCTCAGTTCATTTAACAAGAAAGACTGATCTGCAAAAAAAGAGCAACAGTTTCAAAAATCTACCAAAACTAGCAGAAAATGTAACTTACAGCATCAACGGGCAACAGTAGCAAGTAGTTTGCATAACAAAAGATGAAAGGTGACCTTTCAACAATGGCAGAGTGGCCTTGCAGCCTAGAAGTTCGAAATAACCAGAGTCTTGCAGCCAAAAGTTAAAGACAACTAGAAAAGAAAGTACTGCAATTATAGATCATATCCGATCAGCAAGGTACCTCACAAGGGAATCGATTGGCTTAATGCAGTCAATGCTGCCGATTTCCCTGCGCCTAATTTTGATACGAGCAAGGTAATCGGCTGTGATCCAAGCAAAACTCAACCTCACTGTCTCCCCAGCGCCATCTAGCTCTTGCAACTCCAGTGACTTCTTCAGCCAACTAGGATGATAAGTGACCTGATACCATGCAGATGCCTTTCTTTCATAAATGGCATTCTTCTCTTTGTCAGAAGGCTGATCAATATCTGGATCCATCTGCTCAAAAATATTCCTGAACTCTTTCTGCAGGGCACTATAAGCATGCTTCAGTCTCTCTTTCAGTTCCCCTTGCTTCTTGCTACTGTACTTCGGCATGGACCAAATGTGCCCAGTCACAACCTCTTCCTCCCTGTTCACTTTATACTGTCCCAAAAGACCATTTAACTGCCCATCATAAGAGCACTTGTGGGTCCATGCATCATCGATGAAATCAGTGGATCCTGGAACCTCAAGGTCTGTGTCATAAGGAATATCTTCAGGAAACAATGTCAGCTCGGAAGATGCAACCTCATCTTTGTCACACGCATCTTTGATTTGGCGATAGAGTTTACCCAAAATTTTCTTTGACTTGTACGACTGAAACTCCTCTTTCCCCATAAAGTCAGGGTACAATTTTGGTTTAAGTTCAAAAGGCATGGTCACGAGCTTTCCAGTTTTTGGAAAATCAACGGCTGTGGCAGCAAGCTCTGCCAATTTTATACACTTTTCATCCAATGCTCCATATTCACTGAGGTCAGCATGAACCACATGGGCATGGCAGATTGCACCCAGGTTCTCATTTACTATGTTCCTAGAGAAAAAATCTGTTATGTCCTGTAAACACATAATAGATGTCAGAAGTCCATCTCGGTGGCCAACATGTGATTCCACACAGAATATACATAGATGAAAGAATTTATAACCAATGTTAGTCTCTTGACTTCAGTAAATTATATGAATTGACAAATGTGTGACTAATACGCGGTTCGGCAAAGCCTACGTCCACGGTAGAGATTCGTCGAAAGTCTTCACTATGTGTAAAATCAGAGATTACAAGTTTCAGCCCCTCACTCTCTATTATGTATGAATTTCAGTCTCTCTCTCAACCCACACCAAACCCTAAACACCCTTATATATCGGGCTACAAGAGAGTACTACTTAGGGTCCACGACTCATGAGCAAAAACGGGTCAAAAATTATCCTCGGGGCCAAGTTCCATCCAACGGTTTGTCAGGTTGAAAGCACGTTGCAACGCATCCGGCACCAAATTCAGGACACAGCATCACATCACCAAATGATAGAAGGTTGTTAACTAAAGAGAAGAAATCAAGTAAGCGGTATGAAGATAGAGAATACATCATAGCATACTGTTAATGATTAACAATGATTGAAAGATAATAATGATACCAACAAGCTAGTGGCCTGGCGGTACCAGGCCTCTACTTCCCAAAGGGAGGTTAGGGGTTCGAGCTTTAGTGGAGGCATGTGCATGTCAGTACCAATTAAGGAAAAAATAATAATGATAATGATTTAAATACTAATATAATAGTAGTAATTTTAAAAGCATATACATCAAAAGTATCAATTAAATGTAATATAATAATGATTTCAAAACTAAATTAACAATGACTAAGAATATTACTTCAAAGATATATAATTACCATGTGCTTCACTGGACGTGGCAATTCTTTAACTTCTGCAGGCGCATATTCCATTGGTGTCCAACTCTTCTTACTTGGAGGAATAAGATTTTCATCCCATGTCACAAAGTAGAGATCACCATCAAGGTCACTTCCTGATGCTTCATTTGCATGTGGTCTATCCCCCTTTTGAGGGAAAACCAGACAATCAAAAAGATGGTTCAACTCAGGAACATTGACTGCCTCCAGGATCCGCAAATCACCAGGGTGAAGACATGGGTTCTTTGCAATTATTACAGTACCTTTAATCACTTGTAGATTTTTGTCTGTCTCAGAAAACCTAGAGCCATGCTTTGCAAAACAATTTTGCAACGAAGGATTTGACACTTGAATAAAACACTGGCCTTGTTGAAGTATCCCTAACTCATCTAAACAGCCCATCAACCACCTTCCTGAAGGAACAAAGATCCTACACTTTTCCCTGAGGTCCCCAAGCTGGGCAGCTCTTATACTAGTTAACATGCCCCGCAGATGAGGTTCATTTGGAGGTTTGAAACCTGCACTTAACATTATTGCTGCAGTATTTCCTTGCTCGGCACATGAAGCAGTAAGAACCTCAAAAGCCACATCCGTGTCTACAAGCATCTGATTTAGTTTAGAAATCATACACTCCTGCATTCTCCAAAATATTTCATCTTGAACATTCAAAGTAGAAAGTAACGTCACTATCTCCCGGTTTAAGAATCCAGGCTGGAACCGAGTCCAAGAACAGATTTCAAGAATTTTGTGATTGGATTCAAACTTGTCCATACTTGGCCCCAAGGCAAGCCGGAAACCATCATTTTTTGATGGCCAACAGGCAACAACCCCTTTGTAACCAGCATATCTAATCTGATAAGCACACGGAGGGTTCACTGTCAGCTGCAATCTCTCTGCAACTTCCATTGCAAGATCAGATGTTATCATACCAATCCCATCAGAGAAAACATGCCCATTTCTCTTTATGTCAGGAAGCTCTGAGTCAACGTCACTTAATGGAACTTCAACTGTGGCATAAGTGGATGAGAAACACTGTCCCATCCTAGCAGCACACTTCGCAACATTCCTGTTTGTAAACTTTCCCATCCAATTTATTATGTCATCCACACTAATTCTCTGGTCTTCAGCAAAAAACCAGGCAGAACGGTCCCTCAATTGATTAGCTGAGAAGGCCAAAAAGGAGTATCGCCGACGACATAAGCGGAACCCCTCGCTCACAATACTCTTTACCCTTTTGAACATTGTGGTTTTCTGCGGAGAAGAGTTTGCTGTAATTTCCCAAACAATAGGAGCAGTATAATAGGAAAGAACATTCTTATTAAGTGTCTGCATGCCTTCATCCATGAAGGTAACCCTTAAAAACCGATCAGAAACTTCTCTATAATTCCTGATAACCCTATTGGAAAGTTCAACTTCTGGTGGAAGACAGTAGGCTTTGGTTGGCGTAATAACCAGCCTCCTAACTTCAACAATACCAGCCAACTCTTTAGGTCTCTGGAGAAGCTTAGGATTTTTCAGCAACCATTCCTGGACAAGTTTCAGCCTCATATAGGCATCAAACAGGGGGTGCTTGCAAGCACATATGTGCTTTAATGCAGCTACATTTACCTCCTCCGGCTGGTTTCTCAGCAGATTAAAAAACCTGTCCGACAACTGGTGTTGGTTAATGATACCTTTGTGCACAACAGCATTAACCAAAAACATGATTTTAAATGACACACCATCCTTGTATTGAATACAAAAGAAAGGATCAGCCTTGGGCATCCCAAAATCAGGTTCATCCCGTATCTTAAGCTGCTGCCTAGACATTTCAGTTTGTACCCTCCGTTCCTCGAGATATTTCAGGGCCTTCTTCAGCTTCAAATGGTGGCGAGGTGAAATTGACATTCTATAAGTATTACACCTACCAATGACCCCGCTAGGTGTAAAATCTGTGGTTCGGATCCACGGATCATCATCATCTAACAAATCAAATGGAACTGAATTCTCTATATCATCATCTGCAGTTCTATAGTAAAGAAGCGGAGATGAAGCCAGCTGCAATAAAATTATTTTTGATGACATATCATCAATTTGTTTGATCTCATTGACGTCTCTTACCAAGAACTCAACCTTGAAATCACACTTCATTACCACATGCTTGTTTGTGCCTTTGAGGGAGAAAGCAGTATCCTTGGTGAACAGGAATTTGCATGTCCCATCAAAGGGATCCACAAGAAAATCAACCCCATTAGCAGGCCCTCTCCAGCCAACAAAGAACTCATCTCGGCTAACCAAGAGTCCGATCTCAACCTTGACATCAGAAAATCTAAAAGGAACATTATCTATCCTCCACTTACTCATGCGACGTGGATTTTGAGGCCCCAAACTAACTTTAAGAGGATTCTTGAACAATATAAGCTCACAACGCCCTGCAGCATCTAGAGCTGACTTTGCATAATCAGGAGTTGCAAAATGCACAAAGGCGTGAGGTTCCACCTTTTCATATTCATTTGTTCTTTGAACATTTGCGACATTGATCTCAAAATTTGGGTATGAATCTGGAGGAGTTGAAGAAGTCTTCAATCTACACCTCCAAACAAGTCCAATTTTATCTTCAAAGTAATCCAAAATCATTTTTGCAGTGACAAATTCATCAAACCCACCAACACTAACTTGAGTTACCACCATGTCATTTTCACCTCCCTCCCACACCATCTTTCTCCTCACAAAATTTCCAATGTCCCAATCACTTAATCTGTATAATTTCCAGTTCCACCTAACACAAAATCCAACATGTGTAAGAGAAACACAAACATTGTGCCTTGAACCATAAAAAATGTAGTCTTATAACAATTATACTGCATTTGGCTGTGAGATAATGTAAAAATGACAAAATAAATAAATAAATAAACTTTAGAATATGGTTTCTCATCATTTGGGACAAACAGCATAGTACCTTATACACATATTTGACTCAGCTGAAGCAATTTTTCCCATTTCACAAAAAAACCCTAAAAACATCAAATATAACACAAAATTTAATTAAATCTTCTTTCCTTGCAGAGAATAAATGATAAGAACAAATACAATCCATCAACAAAAATAATCACCTTACGATCAATTTACATTTTCTTTAACTTAGTTAATTCACACAGCTAATTAGTAAGAAACTCAAACCTATGTTCAACTAAGCCTAGAAAAGTCATCGTGCATTGTTAGTGACTCAAAATTATGTAATCATGTCTTTTGCTCCATTTAATAGCATAGATAAACTTTTCAATAAGAGAACAAACTTAATTAATAAATCTCATTTTACTTCTAATTTTCTAAACTGGTAAGAGAGGTAAAAAAGCGACAGAACAGGTTGATGAAATGAAATGCAAGTAAAGGGGACCGAGCACACATAATGTTCTGAGTCATTCAAGTAAATCCTGTAATGTATTTGTCTTGCTACATTCATTTCAAACATATTCCGCGATCAAATTACCAAGAACTATTTCGTTCCAAAATATCATCTCCAATTCAACCTTGACCAAATTCCACATAATCAAAACATCAATTTTAATATATGAAAGAAAATATATTGGAATCATTCCTTAGTTATTAAAGAGTCAACCATGAAAACCAATCTATTAATTTAATTGCAATATATTTTAACTTCTTTAAAATCAATGTAAGATGTTTGGCAAAAAGGGCAATTCCCAAAACAAAAAATGAACAGAAAGAACAAAACTTGCAATATATTTCAAATTCTTCAAAATCAATGTAAGATGTTTGGCAAAAGGGAAATTCCCAAAACAAATAATGAACAGAAAGAACAGAAATTTCCAAAATTAACAAGTTCAACACCTACAATGATATGTCCCTAAAGCTAAAATAGAAGGTGGAAGGGGACAAATAGCAAAAATATTCTGAATTGATCGTTAATTTAGATCAATCATGGGCACAAACTCATTTCTGTTTTCATGTATGAAGAGATGAGAAATTTTATTCATTTCGCAACAACCCAAAACTTCACTCTACCTAAGACTAACAAAATTGTTAATTAATTTGGCATAGATGAAGGATAATAACCCAGAATTCTATTCTAATTCCCTTTCTTTCCTTACAGTTTCCATCGTTTTCTCAGAAAGCAAACGATTGTCAAAAAAAGTATCAATTGATCAACAACAAAAGCTCAAATTTTTGTACAGAAAATCAAGATTATATTACAATTACAACAAAACTGAAATCGATGTCAAAAAAATAAAAAAGTGATCGCAATAAGACCAAATTGCACAATTTTGAGAACCCTACTAACCTTTCGAGTCGATCAACCAAACGTCGAAACCATCTTAGACAGAAAAGATGAATAACCAATGCGATTGAAAGAGAGAGAGGTGATGAAGAAAAGAAGCAATGTGAAGCTTGGCTTGAGTAGAGCAGAGTGTGTACTGTGTATATTATATATTGGTACCGAGTACGAGGAAGACTTTTGCAACTTTTTGGTGGGTAATAGTAGGTACTGTTTTTTTTTTCTAATACTTCGTTCTTTCTCTCTCCTCTTCCATTCAATTTTGAATGAAAATAAAATGACGTATTAGTGAAGTCTCGTTCCTCCAATTCTTTTCCTCTCCCCCGTACTAGACATTGGAAATTTATTCATCACTATCTCTTTATTCTAGAAGGAAGATTGAATTGTAAAAAGGAATAATTGTTTCACTCTTTTTTATCATCTTCTCTTCCAGGAAATCATTTATGTACCGTTTCTTTACCTTTGGCTTGCCCTTTTACTTTTTCTCTCTTCTGTCTCTACCCTTTCTGCCACCTTCAACTTCGTCTCCCCTGTATGTTTTTCTCCCCACTCATTTTCATGTGAGGGGAGGTACGTGTAACAATAAATTTGTTCTGTGAATGATTTTTATGCCATTTTGTTTTTGTTTTGCTAAATTTGTTTTTGTTTGACTTGTTTCTGGCTCAAATTGGTGGATTTGTTGTTTTCTCTCATGCTAAATTCTGATCTATGTAGGTTTTTGTTATCCTCAACTTAATTTTATCTTGTGTGGGGTTTGGGTGGTTTTTCTCTTGTTGGAGGTGTCTTGTGAATGTAGCCTTGGAACTGTGACCTTGATGATGACTTGACTTTGGATCACGCTCTTTGCTGCTCTTCTCCCTTCATGATTTTTGTTATTGAATGTGACTCTTTGTTAACATATCTGGAGCTTGATCTTCATTTTCTATATTTTGTTTCATAATTTTGTTTGTCTTTTTCTAATTTGGCTTTGTTGCCCTTGTACGGTCATTTATAAATGTGTCTTGCAGATGCCGTACGGCTAATTTTCTTATTGCCCGGTAAAAAACAATAAAAGAACACAAACAAAGAAAATCTATTCATCCTCCCTCAAATTCTAAAGAAGTTGACAACACAATTTCTTCTGCTTCTTTTTATCCTAAATTACCTTGTACTCTATTTTGTCGTGCCATACTATCTCTATCACTATTATAAAACGTGTCATTATATGATAATAGAAATATTTTTCAAGATACTTTCAAATTATGTTTTCTGATTTTTAATAATAAAAATTATTTATCTGAAAATTGAACCAATCAAGCCTTTTTTTTTTTTCATTTTCTTAAAAAAAAATTAAAAATTGTACAATGGGATTGTCCCACATTTAAGCATGTATGAACTATCATTTGCGTACATTTCAATACAGAACATATAAAGATTAAATAGTCAAAATTAATGGTTTTTATTTTTTATGGTAAGGGAGAAGTAAAAAAACTATCTGCATGCATAAAAAATAAAAAAGGGAAACACCAAGAAAACAAGTAGGAATCAACCAAGCAATAAATGTTATAGCGAGTAATTCTTAAACTTCAAAGAATAATAGACTATTGTCTTTTATTAATGGTTATTTTGATTGAATATTTTGAGTAATCATTATTTATTGACATTGAAATATGTATCCGTATCTATACTACATGATTTATTTTGACATCATGGTTTGATAACATAAATATGGATTGAGTGGTTTTGATGAAATTATGTCTACGCAGAATGCTAGAAGGAAAAGAAACGATTTCCATAATGAATATATATGGACTAATGTATTAAAATCCCAAAATTTTATGCCAATCAATAGTTTTTTGAAAAGGAAGTACTTGTCTGTCTAAATCTCTGTTTTCTACTGGTTTTCAGTTTTTCTTTATGCTTACAAAGCTCTACAGGCCAGTTACTACATATTGGGGCAACAAGCTTTGAAGAGAACGATTAAACTTCACTAATGCTATGTTCGATTGGAAGAAAAGAAGAGTGGTAGAAGAAAAATAGAAATGATCCGTCCAAATATGGTTGGAAGATAGGACAGAAACAAGTTAGCCTATTATAAAAATTTTAAATTACTACATCACCTTTCATAAATATTTAATAAATCACAAAAATAAAATAAGGGATGCGTTTAATGGTAAAAACAACTTAAAATTTTATCTTTTTTTTTTATGCTCTACATATCAAATTAAATTGTTAATCTTTTTTCATTTTCTTCCATTCACCTGAACAAAAAGAGAAACGATTAATTTCTTCCATAGCAATTTATCAGTCATCCTTTCTTCTCTCCTTTTCATTCAATTTTTTTCTATTTTTTTCCTTCCCACCGAACAGAGCAAAGCAAACCCAAGAAAACCCTGCAGATAGGCTTCACAGATGTCCGAGTTGGCGAAGGCAATGGCTAAAGAAGAGGACTTCTCAGATTTGACTCTAACTCTCAGATGAGTGGGCTCTAAAATCTAATAAGATCCTAAATCCCCCAATCCACAAAAAAATAAATAAATGAATAAAAGAAAATTCCGCGGGTTCTTTTCTGAATATAGAAGACTGCACCACAATTTTTTTTACTGACCCTACTGCTTTTCATCATATAGTTGATAGAAGACCTTTGCAGTTACAACTTCTACTATAGTCTCTAATTGATGTAAACTTAGCATGGTATAGTGCAAAATATATAAAATGCAAGCTTACACTGAGAGCAAGTCAGAGCACTCTCGTAAATAATAATGGGTTTCATCCCTCGCAAAAAATAAAAAGAAGCACAAAACAAACATAAATACGGTTACACATCAAAGTAAGTCACTTAGGTTCAGCCTCGCAGGACCTAACAGGGCCAACCTACGGTTAATCTCATCTTCTTGCGCGGCCACATATTGGCGCCTCGAGTTTATCTGCTCTTGCAGTTCTGCCAGACGAGCTTCCTCGGCCGCTAGCACCACTTTATTGTCTTCAACACGATCCCGTAGGTCCTTAATCTTGAGCACCATTTGCTCTCGTTCCTCATGCACCTTAACTCGCCCAATCGCATCCTCTAGCCAGCTTACATTAACCCTAGCTCCCTGAAGGGCTGCGAGGATGCGCTCGAGGGAGTTGATCTCCTTCCCGTCTAAATGCCTCTCTCCGGCTTCTCGGAGGACTGTCACCAACTTGAACAGCGACTTATAGACAAAGTCTACAAAAAAGGTCACGGTACCGTCCAGATTTTCAAATGAGTTGGGATGTCTGGCTTTAATTTCATCCAACACCTTGACCTCCTCCGAGCTAAGGATTGTCCCACCCCAAGAAACATCAGAAACAACAGCAACTTCTGTTCCACGAGGACTGGGACCATGTAATACCCCTAATTTCAAAAGGGATAAAAATAAAATTTAAATTTTATTTTTGTGCATTTTAAATTGATTTTGTATCTATATGCTTATGTGTCCAATTGTTTGTTTATTTTAATTCATTGTGTTATTTTTTTTAATTGTTTGTTTATTTTAATTAAGGGTGTAATTCTTTATTTATTTGTTTATTTTAATTAATTGTTTTATTTATTTAATGTGTTTTAAGTGTTTCGTTGCTTGCTTATTTGATTTATTAAATTAATTATTTATTAAGTATTTAATTTTTGAATAGGGTAATTATGTAATTCTCATTAACTGGGGTTTTAAATACGTTTTAGTTAGGGTTTTTGGAGCCGTCTCATAAGCATCTGATATGTATCTAAACTGGGTTACTTTGTGGGCCGACGAAGTTAGGGCTCTGTGGATTAGGGTTTTAATCTTGCAATTATAAATACCTCAGTATATGTTAAACCTAGGGTTACATATTGTCGTAACTTTTACACGGAAAAGTCTGCCAAATAGAGAGAGTTACAGAGGGAGTTTTGGTGAGAACAGAGCAGTTTGTGAGAATTTCGACTGGGGTTCCAAGGTTTAACCAAGGAGAAGGAAGGAGCAGAGGTTCTAAGAGGTTAGACAAGTTTCAGTGGATGTCGGAAAAAAACTGAGACCAACGGCAACAAGGGTTTGTTTGCAAACCTATTCAGGCAAGTTCTATCTTCCTCTTTCCCTTTGAGCCGTGTTCTATGCACCTAGATATGCTCTAGGGTTTTAAGGAAATTAACAACTAAATCATTCATGTATGTTATACATCAAATTAATCATATGTATGCTTTGAATTATTTCTGTGATGATTTCTGCAATATCTGTTACAGTGCATGCAAGTTGGTTCAGTTTTATGTACTTTAAGCATGAGGGTTTTTGTCGTAGTTTTTGTCTTTGTTTTTTTATTGCAACTACTGTAAACTAAGTATGGAAAGACTACGGGAGTTATGTAAATCTCATAGGAAGGTTGCTATTTCTGTTTTAGATCTCTGTTGCATTTTGCTTCATTGTAATCCATGCATGAGGTTTCAGTTTTTGCACAAGTTTACTTCTGTTAATTGATTTAAATTGCTATAATCAAACCTTGGGGATGCTATCAGGAGGGTGTTAGATCCTTTAGATCAGTTTAAGAAACAAGCAGAGGGGTAGGAATTGATCGGAGAAGGAGCAGATTGACGGAAACGGAGCAGGGATGAACTGGAGGCTCTCAAGAGGGAGAGAGCCGGCTCTAGAAAGTCAAGAGCCGGCTCCCCTTCAGCAAGAGCCGGCTCCTAGGGAATTGGAGCCGGCTCCAATAGGGGAAGAGCCGGCTCTTCCATTCCAAGAGCCGGCTCCAATTTGTTTTACGTCCAGAAGGTGTTTTCTAGGGCTCTGTTTGGTGTTTTGAGCACTGTTTGAGCTTCTGAGTGATGCTAATGAACTGTAGGGACTTAACAGAGGATCTAAGTAGTTAATTTTAAGTGTTATTAAACTTATTGTTGTATGGTTTAAGTCTCTAAGACAAATGATGAAGCAGTGTAAAAATATACAACGGTGTATGCTACTAACAGAAGAAAGGAACTAAATGGCTTGATTAAATTTTAGAAATTTAATGAGACTTCACGGAGGGATTAAATAGTTAATTTTTGGGTGTTATTAAGACCCTAAATTGATTTAAGGTTAATTCTAAATTAACGGATCAAACTATATAACACTTATGTACATTGTATACGGTTAGTGGATAGATGAAGTTTTAAATACTTAAGCTTATTTTTAGGCATTCCAGTGGGATTTAATATATTTATAAAATGGTTTTAAATATATTATAGGGTCATTGATGTGTTAGATGTGATCTATGCAGGCTCTGGATGTTAGTTGTTGATTTATTAAATCATCTCCTGCAACTATATGGTTAATTATTTGGATTTAAATTGCTGAAACATTTAAAAATCTTCTGTAATTAATTGGATATTGGTTT